AAAATCGGCCAACCACACACGAAAAATGGGGGGTGAACAAAACCTTTTTCGTGTGTAGTTGGCCGATTTTTCTGAATTTCCCGGGCCGGTCTGATATAGCCAGCACGCCCCTGTGTACACAACAAAAATTAAACCTCATTTTCATATATGCAATATTGTTTAATGATAGTATAATTATTATACCTGCCTACGATGGTTCTTTTTGCAAGAATTTGGAAAAGGTTGCTGCTAGTACTCGATTTTCCGCCGCACGCGCCCTTCTTTTGTTTTTATAAAAAGTTCCTGAATCTTTTTTGCGTTTTCCAGACATTTTATACTTCTAATTATCAAATTACCTTAGCAATGCACTGATTTTACAACGCACGACCGTGCGTTGTAAAATCAGAGCAAATGCACGTGATATAATATTTGTCAATTATTAATTGTCAATTGTTTAGTATGTTGAATAAAATTGATAATCATTAACAAATCGTAAAAATGCCGCCCCCCATTATGCCGCTCTGGGCCGTTGCCCGGTTCGCCCGTACCTCGGGCCGGCCCTTACTACCAAAACACATATTCACACATAATTACAATTGTTTGAGTGAACACAGTGTCGTAGAAACTGGGGTTGCTTTAAGCTTATTGTCCCATACAAACTTTGAGGTTAGGTTAGGTTTTAACAACAGTTGATGCAATTTTTAGATTACACAGTTCGGCTACCATTAAAAAGGCGTACCTCTCAAACTTCGATAAAATAAACCGTTTCCGAGATATACGAGATTACAATAATTGTTATATGGCATTATTTAAAAGGATTAAAAGGTAGATAACAAATTTTTCTTTTTAATTAAAAAAACTAAAAAGAGCATTCCATGAGCCTGAAGACTTTTTGCCCTGACCGTCTCATTAAAAAAATTGTAGTTTTTTCAATTACAAAATTTGTTATTATATACCTTCCTTTAATGCGATATAACAATTATTGTAATCTCGAATATCTCGGAAATGGTTTGTTTTATCGAAGTTTGAGAAGTACACCTTTTTAATAGTAGCCGAACTGAGTAATCGAAAAATTGCAATTATGTGTGAATAGGTATGTGTTTTGGTAGTAAGGGACTGTTTGCAAAATATCACCTTTCCAAGTCTACTACAGTAGAAGTTATATTAAATAAACTGATATGATAAGTAACACTTTATCACCCTGTATCTTTTAAAAATACGTAATTAGGAAAAATATTTATATAGATTTTCGTCTTATTTTGACTTGCTTAATCTGCTCCTAAATTTATGCCACTAAGTTTAGGGACACCTTGTATACATTTTAAGCCGCTAAAACAGAATCTGAGGTCAAACTAGTACCTTTTACGATTGGTTTTCGACATAACCTCGAAAAACGTATTTTTTAGTATGCTGTTTCTCTTTATATGTGATGATACGGTTTTTGAGGTTATGTCTAATCAGGGTTGCCAGTTCGGTTTTCATTCCTTCAGTAAATATGTAGCCAAAAATTCAGTAGATTTCAGGAGACTTATTTTCCTCTACAAATTTCAGAAAAGGGTACTAAAATAAAACTATATCGTCGAAAAAATATGTATTTATTTATAAATGAAAGTCACCAAGGGTAACAAAATAGCAACAAAAAATGTGTTATAACCTCGATTATAACCAAACATTTTCATTTAAAAAAAATAAAATAAACATTCCTTGGAATTCCGATGCTCCGATGTTAAACATATTTATTTTTTTCTTTGACGGACCGGAACCTTCATTTTCAGAGTTATAGTCCTCACTTGAACTAAAAGATAATACGGTATAGGTACCTATTTAAAATTACATAAGTGCACTTACCTCATATTTTTGCAACTGCACAATAAAAAAAATAAATATGTAATTAAAAATAAAATATTAATTATTATAATTCAATAAACCGAATTTATTATAAACGGAAACAAAATCCCCGTCCCCGTGGTCTTTCACATAACCTCTACTCATTGACATAATTCCCCTGTAATCCCCGACGGGGATTCCCCGAGGCCCGTGGTCAGTATTACCAACATATCAAGCGCTAAGACGCGTTATAATTTTATATAGTGCTTGTAAATGTATAACCAAACATTTTCATTTAAAAAAAATAAAATAAACATTCCTTCGAATTCCGATGCTCCGATGTTAAACATATTTATTTTTTTCTTTGACGGACCGGAACCTTCATTTTCAGAGTTATAGTCCTCACTTGAACTAAAAGATAATACGGTATACCTACCTATTTAAAATTACATAAGTGCACTTACCTCATATTTTTGCAACTGCACAATAAAAAAAATAAATATGTAATTAAAAATAAAATATTAATTATTATAATTCAATAAACCGAATTTATTATAAACGGAAACAAAATCCCCGTCCCCGTGGTCTTTCACATATCCTCTACTCATTGACATAATTCCCCTGTAATCCCCGACGGGGATTCCCGAGGCCCGTGGTCAGTATTACCAACATATCAAGCGCTAAGACGCGTTATAATTTTATATAGTGCTTGTAAATGTATTTAAATAGAGCGTTCGGAATTTAATGCAAGATAAATGTAAGTGATATATTATTGATAACCATAATAAATAAACCTTATATTTTTTTTCAGTAGATTACAACATTTTTCAGTAGATCTGTAGATTAATCAGCAAATCAGTAGATCTACTGAAAAATCAGTAGAACTGGCAACCCTGTGTCTAATACCAATTGTGAACAGTGTTGTTCCGTCTATTACATTTGTAATAAATCTATTACAATGGCCAAACATCTATTACATCATTACAAAATTAATAAATCTATTACATTTTCAAGATTTGTCCGTTTTTTTCAACAATAATTATATATACGTTTGACCCATTTGTTTGCGACTCACCCCTGTAAAGGCTTTATTTATTGTGAGATTTTAAACGGATTTGTTTTAAAGTGTAGATATTGATAAAATGTATTTTTGAAGAAAAAACGCCATATTTGTACAAAATACATACTATGTCAGTTTTTAAGAATTCATATTAGCGAGTTTTTTAAACAAAATTGAAGCACGGCACTGGATTTACCACCCCTCAAAACGACCCTTTACTAAATTTTATTGATAAATTTTAAGTAGAAAAATGCACAATAATAACTACAAAAATTTATTCCGTCAAGTTATCCATGAAAAAAACATTTTAATAAAATTAAACTTATAGTACCTAATAGTATGATCATTGAGTAAAGAAGAACTTCCTTACTCAATGGTATGATAAGTACCAATTACCTGTAAAATTTTATTATTTTATCGATATCTGTTTTTGTTAACAAATATTTAAATAAAATCTTTATTTACAAAATATGCATGATGTCTTTGGATTATTTTAAAAATCCCTCCTCCCCTTTACCTTTATGAAATAACAAATTTCTTTATTTTTATAATGATATGTAGTTAAAAAATGGCAATTACATTTTATAGGGATCTATTACTTTTTTCTGTAAAATCTGTTACGCTTTTTTTCCCGCTGGGAACAACACTGATTGTGAAAGGTTTAAGCGGCTTAAAATACATAGAAATTTATGCATATCTTTAAAAATTTCCATTATTTTTTGTGTGGCTGTGCACAGCAGTGCCAAGCCGGATAAAAAAATAAAAGTTTGAAAACTTTTAACGGGACACATGTATTACCCTGTATTTTAACCTTTGACTGGTACGCAAGAAATTTGAAACTTAAGTGGTATCCTGGGGTCTTGAATTTTTTTTAAGGAGAAATAAAGAAAATTTGCAATTTTTAAATTATTACTTTACAACTTACCCTGATTCATTGCCTTTGCAAGATGTGCATTCTATTTTATTTGTGAAATGCTGCTTGCATACGAACTTGACGCATTTAAAACACCTTGTTAAATGTTTTTGATCTTTTGCTTAATGACAAAATGTATATCTATGTCTTTTTAACCGACGTTGATCATTATTGCCCCTTCAGAATATTCGAGTTCAGACACAGAATCATGATCACTTTTCTGAGTAGTAGCATCACTAATGTCCTCGTCAGACTCACTACAATAGTCAACAGGCAACGTAGGTTCATATATGTCACTGTAACTCTTGTTCTGTTAAATATTTCTTCGCCATTGCAAAACTTATAAAATCGCGTAACTGGTATACTGGGGTCAACGGTGACCCCAAACGTCAATAATTAAAAAACGGAAGATGCGACCGGTTCCCATGTACTTCTTAAATGTAATCTTTTTACGAAAACTCATTCACAAAAATTGTTATACAAGTAAAAGATTATGAAAAGTTTTCAATGTTTAAGCAAAACCAGTTGTGAATTCATAATTTAGTAACTTTATTCCGTATTCAATTGAAACTGACTTTTTTAAATATTTTAATACCAACTCGACAATTGTCAGATTTTTATCATCTGCCAAAGGAGATTTTAAAGTTTCTATTGACCTACAATTTCTGGCTTGATATGCAAAAACTGTTGTTTGCTTAATAAATTTACCTTTAGCACATTTTAATACTACCACTTTTAAAATCAAATGTAATGCTTAAAAGACAACAAATTTTATCTTATAAATATGCCATAACGAAGTTTATGATGATAAACCGTCTCCAGAATTGTGCTCTTAGTTTTTGTAAAAATAGGTCTAAACATTATATTTACGTCAAATATACCTATTTAATAATGATGTGTAGAATGCATATTGATGGTTTTTATTTTTTTTTTGTTTTTGATTATGCTTTAAAGAGGTGGCTTTACCGTGCGACCACTAGAAAGTAAACAACATTGATTTAAAAACACTTTATTACATTAATTACTTCTTATGATATAGTACAAAACAGTTTTTTTTATCGGTTAGGCATAATCCAACGTCGCACCTAAAAATTTGGAGAAACATATCTGTGGGCGTTCCGATCGAGCCATTCACATTTGGTTTAGGTGTACCAGAACATTTTTTTAGGTTTCGTAGATAGTATGAAGTAGATTTAGTCCATATGGTCTTATTTGCCAATTCTCAGGCTCGTATTGTCGAAAGCGGAATCTCATCTTTGCTATTCCATGCATCTAAAGTACCCCTGCTAGCATCAACAATAACATCATTGTCTAATTGGTCATCATGATGACTCATCAAAAACTATTGGCATAGATTCTATGTCAAACATTTCAACCACTTCGGAATCCCTTACTCTAGAATGATTCCTTGTCAAAATGTCATTCTCTGCTATTTCATCTTCGCTAATATCGCCTTGTTCACTGTCATTGTCACTAGGAAGCTCCTCTATAAAATCAAATAAGGCATTCTGGTCCATTAGCTCCAATTGCTGTAAGATATTCCCTTCAAAAAAAAAAAACAATAATTCCTAGTGTTCCCACTGCGAACCCATCAACTATTTTCCATCATTTTTTTTCTTGGAATTATGCACTACAAGAATTAATAATTCCTAAAAGAATGTTATAAGTAACAAACAAAATCGAAACTTACCAGCCATCACTCTAAAATATAATTTTATTCAATAAATCACCACCAAGAAACACCCACACTCATGCGACATGTAAAAACACTCTTATTTATGGAGCCAATATTGTTTCTACGGTACAGCAACGCCGGTTTGAAGTGGGGAGGTATCTAAAGCGTACGTAAGCATAGGAGTTCTCACGATGGAACCACTAGAAACTTAAATATAAATTTATATGCAAGTGTCCTCGGCGTGCGACCACTAGGAAACAAAGGGCTAAAGCAGTAGGTACTTACGAAGGTTCGTTTTCCAAAACTAATTCCTCGAAATCCAGGACTATCCTGTATCCAGTTGGCGCTGTTATATCCGTATCGCAATCGGCATTATCCGGGTATTGTCGTGGAAATCCTGGACTGGAAATAGATGCTCTTGGTTGTTGTCGTGACAGAACCACTGATCTGTTACAATCTGGCGGCCAACTGTCTTCCAAAGGTTCTAGAAGAAAAACAAAAATGTAAGTTAAACATATTTTTTAGTTTAAAATAATTATCAAAAAAAATTATCGTTAGTAATATCGAAAAAACACGTTGCTAAGTAATATTTTAACAAGAAGCATGAGTGCTGGTGGCAACAAAAATCCGAGTCGAAGAGGAGGATTTTTGCACCTGCACGAATGCATTTTGTTAAAAAATATTACTTAGCATTGTGTTTTTTCTATTTTTTTCACAGGAAAAATTAAATGCCCGAATGGTATTTGACAAGACTATTTCATGACTAACAGTTAACAATTAAAATATAAATTGCAATTTTTGCTGTTAACAGCTGTCAAGTTTTGCCGCGGGTAAACTCGAAAAAACTGCTGACAGGTGCTGTCATACAGTTTTTCCACCTAGAAACCATTTGTAATTCAAAATTGCGCGTTTGTGATTGGTGGGAATTAAGACGAGGGAAATAGTCGATTAAATTACATTTATGGTGTAGTACGAATTTGTATTTTTGTACCATTTGTAATTCAAAATTGCGCGTTTGTGATTGGTGGGAATTAAGACGAGGGAAATAGTCGATTAAATTACATTTATAGTGTAGTACGAATATGTATTTTTTTATTACTAAAGTATGTATACATGTATACATATTTATATTTGTATCCAGAGTGTTAAAGAATGATTTTAATTAATTTACAAGATAAAATTAAAGTCAATGCAGTATAATGCAAATTATATTTTATAATGGTTTTGTATCATTTAAACTAACACGCTGTTAAACCGGAAAACGGTTGCTTAAATTATTAATTAAATTTGCCGAGATGTTATAACAATACGTCTGTTTCTATATAATCTCCCATACATTAATTTCATCTCATTACAACAACAAAGTTTAAATCAATATTAAACTTAAGTAATTAATTTGGGTCGGTTGAATTCTTTGTTTAGGCGCTGTATTTCTATACGTTAACACAATATGTCTTTCTGTTAAACCAAGAAACAATAAACCAAGTCAGGTGAGAATTTTGAAACTCCTCAATTTTCCAAAGTTATGTGCGAAAGTTATTTAACAAGGAAATAGGATGTCGATCAATTTGAAGGGAATTAAACAGCATCAGACCGATTTCTGGTCTTAATCCAACCCTCCCTCATTATTTATTCATTTTAACATGTACTTATGCTTGAAGGCAAATTTCGATTAATATAAAGCAAATATGTATTTATGTTAGAGACAAACATAATATTAAATTATTTTATTTGCAGTTTGTTATGTTAAACAATGCCTTCTCTTTCTTTGTATGTTGTTTAAAATATAGATCTAGAAAATCTTTAGCTAATTTAATTTTTAAATCTCCTGGAAAAAAATCGTCAGATAAGATTATTTACTTTAGGTGAGGATTCGAACTAATGAAGGCCCTTAGTGAAAAATATGTACCTATCTTTCTTGCTTAGTTTTGTTTAATATGTTTAAAATGTAAAAAAAAATGATAATAATTAATTAAAAATTTTAGTTAGGTACTAATTTTTTCAAACAACAAATTATACTATAAAAGTAAACATGTTTATAAGGCTTCTTTTCTATTTTTGTAGAATACGGTCCTAATTAAATTTAAATTACTTATATAGTATAATATAGTGGTATTAAGCACCTATTAGGTGCTTTCCTTTCATTTTTGAAGTGAGACAAGCAAAAGTAAGATAAGCGAGGCCACTTACGCGCACTCATCTTACCTAAAATAGATCAAACGAACGGTTGGTAAGCCTATTTTCTCTAAAAGTGACACTTGACAGTTTAACCCTTAAGCCTGAATTATAGATTGCCTTCCTTCCTTCCTCCCGTAGTCGTGCCCGTACAATTTGAGCGTCTTGTAAAAAGTCAATTTATAGATTTCCGTGTAAAATTCCGTAACCATGCGCAATGACACCTAAAATGGTTGACATTTGTTTTTGTTTATATTCTGCGTTTTACCCATTGTGTGTAAATATGAAAGATAATCGTAAGTAATATCATAAGGGCATTTAATTTTTCCGAAAAAAATCGAAAAAACACGTTGCTAAGTAATATTTTAACAAAAAGCATGAGTGCTGGTGGCAACAAAAATCCGAGTCGAAGACGAGGATTTTTGCACCTGCACGAATGCATTTTGTTAAAAAATATTACTTGGCATTGTGTTTTTTCGATTTTTTTCACAGGAAAAATTAGATGCCCGAATGGTATTTGACAAGACTATTTCATGAGTAATAGTAAACAATTAAAATATAAATTGCAATTTTTGTTGACAACAGCTGTCAAGTTTTGCCGCGGGTAAACCACAAAACTAGTTTTGTGGGGTAAACTCGAATAAACTGCTGACAGGTGCTGTCATACAATTTTTCCACCTAGAAACCATTTGTAATTCAAAATTAAGCGTTTGTGATTGGTCGAAATTAAGACGAGGGAAATAGTAATTTATATATTAGTGCAGTGATCACAATTTTAATTGCCCAGGCAGCTTGTTGTATACAGCCCAACTATGGAGAAAAGTAACTGCTAAACAAGAAATTTGTGGTAAATTAGCATAAACTACATTTTTATTAAAAGCAGTAGGTATTTAACTAATTTATTTAACTTAAAAGATAGTTTACTGCATTTCTTTGTTGAATTAAGATACAAAATGTCCATAGCTTTGTTATAGCACAAGAAAACGCATTTGTAGTTACTACCTTTCTCCATAGTAGGGCAGTTTAATGGAAAAAAAACATCGAACAAGACGTTGGAAGACTCGCCCACTTTACCAAGACCGGGAAACTACGTGGTTTTACAAAGCAACGTTTCTAAAAATGAAAGACATTGATCATAAACAATATCTAAATATCCTATATAGAGACACAAATTATTTAATAAATACTAAATACTAAACAATCATGTATTTTAAATATTTTGTCACCCTGTCCATGTCCATAACAAGCACTGTGATTGGTCATGTTAAAGACCTTTACGGTGAAAGATACGGGAGGAAGGAATGCCGTGCTTACGGTACGGGAATCTATAACTGGCAATACGATTTAAATAAACATTTTTGACGTAATTGTCACCATTAACATTGCCCGTTATTAATTTTAATTAAATTAACAATTATTGATAATTTAAAATATTAAAATTACTTAAAAATATGATTTTGTTAAGAAAATATTTTATTCTTTAATTTTTTTTATTACTATAATTGCAAAATTTTATCACAAAGAATTCAAAATACCTAAACGGCAAATGCTAATGGTGACAATTACGTAATGTTCATCTTCTACGGGAGGAAGGAAGGAAGGCAATCTATAATTCAGGCTTTATGTTCTGTGGTTTAACCATTTCCCTCAACGGTTTAACGCAAAGATTAAAGACTTAACGAACAAAATGTCGAATCAAATAATACAGGTAAGTAGTTAAAAATATAAATCCAATTTAAACAATAATAAATACCTTTTTTTATTCTTTAATTTTATAGAATGTAGTGAATGTAATATTCAGCAGCGATTCTGAAAATACTAGTTTAATCGTATCGTATCATCGTAATCGTAAATTACTATTTAAATAGTCATACCTACAATTGTAGGTATTCTAGTCGCCGAATGAATCATTCAATTTGAAATCCGAATGAAAATATGCGATTAATAATCGCGGATTACTTAATTCGAAAATAAACGGCGATTATTAATCGCATACTTTCATTCGAATTATCAATTCGATTAAATTATTCCGATATTGAAATCCGAATGAAAGTATGCGATTTATAATCGCCGATTATTTAATCGAATTATCATTCGATTATTGAAATAATCGTATCGGATATAATCGGTTATTGATATAATCCGATTATGCCCATCACTAATATTGTTTTAATTTTCTTAAGAACAGAATTCTGTTTTGTTTGATAGAAAGTGAACAATCACACTTTTTGGCGTGCATCTATCCCCACCACCAAGTAATCAAAATTTCTCATTTGTAAGTGTGCTCCGGAGGTTGTGCTTGATCGGTAAGGGGGAGGTAAAATTCTCACTTTGGCTAAATAAATAATAAACCAAGGTGAGGTAAGAATATCTAAGAATTGTGGCGAAAGGAAAGCACCTATTATTATTATTATTATTATTATTATTATTATCATCATCTCATGGCGGGTGACCTTGGGCGCGCAAACGTCACAAATCCGTCAAATCGCTCTAATACTCGCCGCCCTAAAAACATACTACCCCAGGGTTGGCAATGCTAGCATCAGCTGATATTTATTGACATATTTATAGGCTAGAAATTCTATTATATTTGTTATGTCATATTTGTCATATCATATTTGTTATAACTAATATTATATTTGTTATAATATTATATTAAATTTTGTTATAATATGATATTTCTTATATTATATTTGTTATACGAAAAAAACGGCAAAAAAAAATCATTCACAGCCAAGGGCAGCAGATCGTCTACAATGTTCTCCAATATTTGAAACGCGAGTTGAAACGTGAAGAAGATGGTGAAGATCCTGTTATACCTCTTAGTCATTTACAAGAGCGAGTGGCCGCAGCAACTGGTGTTTCTTTGAGGACGGTGCAAAGAATTGACAAAGAGGGTAAAACGAAAGCATCCGACAAGAAATTCACTTCGCCACGAAAAACTATTAATAAACCAAATCCCAAGACAACAGTGGATGAGTTTAATGAAGAAGTGATAAGAACTATTATAATAGATAATTATCTATAGATTTTCGATAACACATAAACAACGACCAACTTTAAAAGCGGTTTTTGAAGCTGTCAAAATTGATTGCCCCCATTTGACTGGAAAAATATCTTCATTTCGAAAAATTGTCCGAAAATTAGGATTTGGAAAAAAACCGTGGATAATCGCAAACTTCTTGTTGAAAAAACGGACATCAGAGCGAAACGGACTATTTTCTTGAGAAATCTCAAGAAATATAAAGAAGAGGGTAGAAACATTGTGTACAATGATGAGACATATCTGCACAATTCACATACTGTG